TCAGCCAAACTTCTCGTCACCCCATGTCACCACTCTCCCATCTTCGCGGATCGCCGCAAACGATACGCTGGTAGCCTGCAACGTCAGCACGGGTTTAGGGTTTAGGGTTTAGGGTTTAGGGTTTAGGGTTTAGGGTTTAGGGTTTAGGGTTTCGGGTTTAGGGTTTAGGGTTTAGGGTTTAGGGTTTAGGGTTTAGGGTTTAGGGTTTAGGGTTTGACCGCAACCAGTCAAGCCCAGCGCCCAAGAGACCCTGCAACCTACATGCTTCGGGCAAGGAATGTACCCTTAACACTTCGGGCCATCGGGTGAATGCGCTATAGACTTTGAAGCAAAATCATAATAGTAAAAAGAATAACAATAATAATACGAAGAAGAAGAAGAATACCACAAACCCTAAACCTTAAACCCTGAAACCCTAAACCCTGAACCCTAAACCCTAAACCCTTCAAGCGACCCTATGGGGCCCCAAGCACTCTGCGCCTGGATTGCACGGACCTGCCAAAGCTGATCTTGCACGGCTCTGCTGTCGCCGCCTTCCTCTTCGGAGCCCCAGGTGACCTCGGGTTTAGGGTTTAGAATTTAGGGTTTAGGGTTTAGGGTTTAGGGTTTAGGCGGTTTAGGGTTTAGGGTTTAGGGTTTAGGGTTCCGGGTTTAGGGTTTAGGTTTTAGGGGTTTAGGGGGTTTAGGGGGTTTAGGGGTTTAGGGGTTTAGGGGTTTAGGGGTTTAGGGGTTTAGGGGTTTAGGGGTTTAGGGGTTTAGGGGTTTAGGGGTTTGGGGTTTGAGGGTTCCAGGGACCTTCAAAAGGGAGAAAAACAGGGTAGGTATTCCTGGGGATCGAAAGGGCTTAGGTTAGGGATTCTTCATTGCTTTTAGTGCTCGGTATCCCTTCCTTAAACCCTAAACCCTAAACCCTAAACAACAGAAAGAAAGAGTTATAGTTCCTGGGCTCGCAAAGCGGTTCTGGGTTCCGTTCAGGGTTTGGGTTTGGGGTTTAGGGTTTAGGGTTTAGGGTTTAGGGTTTAGGGTTTAGGGTTTAGGGTTTAGGGTCCAGGGATGATTCTCGCAAAGTCTCAGCTGCCTACGTTGCTGCGGATGTCGTCTGGGATGCTTGCTGCAGATTTGAGGCTCTGGGGATGATCAGGTGCGGGTGGTCGGAGGACAGAGGGGAACCCTGACTGTACTTATAACCATATTAGGGCACTTAAGGGGCCCAGAAGTGGGTTATAAGTACAGCTATGAGTGGTTCATAAAGTACCATGAACCTCCAAGTGTCGGCCCTTAACCGCAGGGTCCGCAGGCTTCAAGGGTCTGGGATGAGGGCTGAGGCTTCAGGCCTTTAAGGCTTTTCGGGTTTGGGGTTTAGGGTTTAGGGTTTAGGGTTTAGGGTTTAGGGTTTAGGGTTTAGGGTTTAGGGTTTAGGGCTATGCTGGTGGCTCCCCGAGCAAAGGCACCGGAGGCCACTGGCACCGAGAGCATCTGTCATGAGATGCCTGGCCTGAAAGGACCCTAAACCCTAAACCCTAAACCCCCAACCCCTAAACCCTAAATGGGATGGCGAAGCCACTCGGGGGTTGGAGGCACCATCAAGGTCCACAGCCGTGACACAGGAGTGCAAGAAGCTGGCAGGGATGGTGAAAGCGGCCAGGAGACGATCTCCCCCCATGACCAAGGTCGCTTGGGATGCTCCCCCTTATACTAGCCGCTACTTTATAGGGACTATTGGTAGGGGGGTACGAGAATCCCGGGGGGAACATCCCAAAATGTTGCCAACAAAAAGGGGCCAGGACAGCCAGGTAGGAGCACAACATGCGCCTTCTCCGGGTTTTACGAAGAGGTAGGCTCTTGGATTTGGAGGCCAAGAAGGCAGGCAAAGCATGGCAAAGGCACTCTCTCAGTTCTTTCGACGATTTCGCCGATGATTTGGTCAGCACATCCGTGACTCAACTCCGAGTACGACAGGCTCCATGCCAGGCTTAAGTAGGTTACTTGCTTACTCTCTCTCTCTCTCTCTCTCTGACAAATGCACTCTGGGCAGTGAAGCTCGAGAAGTGGTGCTCCGATTTGCTTTTACTGAGAACTAGCGCTGTTTTGGGGCTTATGTCTGTAAGGACTTTAGGGCTTAGGGCTACTCTTAGGGCTGCTTTCTGGGCCTACTCTTTGCTTGAGAACCCCAGAAAAGAACAGACCATCATCCCGATATTGCCCTCATGAGGAAGAATTGTAAGATTCTTTTGGGGGTGGTTCTGAAGCAAATGGTAGGGCCCTCTTATAGTTAATCCTCAAAAGCTAGACCCAAGAGTAACCTAGGAACAATGAAGGGTGCCCTTTGTGGTTTGAAGGGCCTTATCAGGAAGCCTAAACCCTAGCAAAAGCGAATAAGGGCCTCCTCTGGGTCCCTAAACCCTGAACCCTAAGCCCCAAACCCTAAACACCTCCCAAACCCTCAACCCTGAACCTAAAATCTGAACCTCAAGCCCATTAAAACGCAAAATCTCCTGGCTTTCCTAAACCCTCAAGACCTTACAGCCTGAACCCCCCCCCCCCTCGCCCCCACTCACTCTCAAGCCCTCCCTAAGCCGTCAACCGACCCCTAGAAGTCTGAAACCCCAAAACCCTAAGCCTAAACCCTAAACCCTAAACCCTAAACCCTGAACCCTAAACCCTCAACCCTCAACCCGAAGTGTGGGTCATAGAAAGAGCTTCCAAGTAGGATAGATCCCAAGCTCTGTGCGGTCCACGAAGCCACAGAGCCATCCTCCAAGATCGCGGCGAAGGCTCGCGCAGTGCACTGGATGCACCGGACCTGGGGGAGGGGGGGGGTTTGGGGTTTGGGGTTTAGGGTTTAGGGTAGTTTAGGGTTTAGGATAGTTTAGGGTTTAGGGTTTAGGTTTAGGGTCTCGGGTTTAGGGTTGAAGGCAAAGTTGCCCCTAAACCAGAGACCTAAGGTGAGGGGGAGGTCGAACGCCAATGGGGGGCAAGATTAGGGCTTAAAAGCCCCTAAGTTCAACCTCAAACCCTGAACCCTGAAACCCTGAACCCCAAGAGCCTCAAAAGCCTGAACCCCAAGAGTTCCGAGCCTGACTGCCCTAAACCCTAAACCCTAAGCCCTAAACCCCAAACCCCAAACCCCAAACCCTAAACCCTAAACCCTAAACCCTACACCCTAAACCCTAAACCCCCTGCAAGGGGGCCTTCCTCAGACGATGCTGCACGGCGCTGCTGTCCCCGCCGAAAAGCTCGTTTCCCCATGTCCTCAGAGGGCTATGTGGTTCCGGGTTTCCGGCCAAGGGTTTGGCACCCTAAACCCTGAACCCTAAACCCTAAACCCTAAACCCTCTAACAACCCCTGTAGGGCCCTCTTCGTACCAGAGGTCACGACTGAGCCGTCACGGCATACGGCAGCGAAGGCGAAGTCGGCTGCTGAAATACATCGGACGTCGTGGAGTTGGTCCTCGGACTCGTGGTCGAAGGTTTCGGGTTTCGGGTTTAGGGTTTAGGGTTTAGGGTTTAGGGTTTAGGGTTTAGGGCTTAGGGTTTAGGGTTTAGGGTTTAGGGTCTAGGGTTTAGGGTTTAGGGTTTAGGGCTTTTCGTGCTTCGGGCTTTTTAGGCCCATGCAGCGTCTGAGGCCGTAGGGCCTAGAATGTTTACTGTTTGGATACAGGTACGTAATTTGCTTTGTGGTGCACAAAATCGCAAAAGGGCTCCGCCTGCGACACCCCGAAAGCTTCAACCTAGGACGGCGCTTAAAGCCGTCCTAATCCATGATCCCCTTAAGCTCAATAAGGGAAAAACCTAAACCCTAAACCCTAAACCCTAAACCCTAAACCCTAAACCCAAGGGCCTACCTAGTAACCCTGAGCTGGACTCCCTGTCTGAGATAGGGAGCTCGGAGCACGTCGCAGTCTCCGCCATCTTCAAAACTGCCCCATGCCACCACTGTCCCTCAGTTTTAGAAACCCTAAACCCTAAACCCTGAACCCTAAACCCTAGACCCTAAACCCTAAACCCTAAACCCTAAACCCTAAACCCTAAACCCCAAAGGGTGGGTCAGTTTGGGCTCGGGGCTTAGGACTGAAGGTTTGGAAGGCTAGGATGGCCCTGAAGTACCCAAAGGGTTTAGGGTTTAGGGTTTAGGGTTTAGGGTTTAGGGTTTAGGGTTTAGGGTTTAGGGTTTAGGGTTTAGGGTTTAGGGTTTAGGGTTTAGGGTTTAGGGTTTAGGGGTTAGGGTTTGGGGTTTAGGGTTTGGGGTTTAGGCCTTTTGGTTTAGGAATAAAATCTAAGCCCCCCTAAACCCAATAGGGGGGAAATATAAAATATCCCAGGGGCCCACCCCCTAAACCCTAAACCCTAAACCCTAAACCCTAAAACGAGTTAAGGTGTAGGTTCCAGGAGCCAGGGGGTCCAACAACCCACAAGCAAGGCTTCGGGTTTTTGGGTTCAAGATTTAACTAGGGTTTAGGGTTTCGGGTATTTAGGGTTTAGGAGTTTCGGGCTTAGGGTTTAGGGTTTCGGGTTTGGGGTTCAGGGTTTCGGGTTCTTGGGGTTCACGGTTGAGAGTTTATGGGGTTTGGGGCGTTCGCGGCTTCGGGTTTACAAACGCCCAGAGAGTTTGGAGCCCCCAAAACACACCCCTCCACCAAAAAACGAAGAACGAAGCCCGCACTGGCCGCGTCAAAGGGCTTAGGGTTTAGGGTTTAGGGTTTAGGGTTTAGGGTCTAGGGCTTAGGGTTGAGTCCCAAGGCACCGTCCAAGCGCAACGCTGCAAACGCTTCGCAGGTAGCGGCGAGTTGGAAAATGTCATACAGCTGGTCCTTTTACTTGCTTGTTCTCCATATGAAAACAGGGAGTTCGGTACCTAAATATCCCAGTTGACCCTTTAAGCAAGTGTATATTAGGGAGCCCAACTAAGATTAGAAGGGCGTGGTGTTGAGCTTTCGGAGCTTGTAGGTCTGAGGCTCCAGGGTTAGAGTCCTAAGGTCGAGGGTCTGAGGGCAGAGGGTTTCGGGTTTAGGGCTTGGGGTTTAGGGTTTAGGGTTTAGGGTTACTCGAACCCCAAATCGAACGTGGAGAAGTCCTTTGCTCGCCCCCCCCCCTTCTTCCCAGATCGCCCCACAGCTTGCTATGAAACCCCTTGAAATAACCCATCAACCCAACCAGTTTTACCCCACTTGAATTTTAGGGTTGAAGTTTCTTGGTAGCCCAGTAACCATATTTCAACAAGGGCACCCTTTTTGAGGCTAGTTACTTTATAGGGGAAACCATAACCAAAAAAAGTAAAGGGCACCACTGGGCAACCAAGGTTTTAGGGTAAAAGTCAGTAGATCTCATGACTGCGAGGGAAGCAAAGCTTCACCCTTAATGACTTATGATGCTTGAGCCCTAGACCAGGGTAGCCATACACCCTGCACCCTAGACCATATGAACCCTAAACCCTAAAACCCTAAAACCCTAAAACCCTAAAACCCTAAAACCCTAAAACCCTAAAACCCTAAAACCCTAAAACCCTAAAACCCTAAAACCCTAAAACCCTAAAACCCTAAAACCCTAAAACCCTAAAACCCTAAAACCCAAAAACCCTAAAACCCTAAAACCCTAAAACACTAAAACCCTAAAACCCTAAAACCCTAAAACCCTAAAACCCTAAAACCCTAAAACCCTAAAACCCTAAAACCCTAAAACCCTAAAACCCTAAAACCCTAAAACCCTAAAACCCTAAAACCCTAAAACCCTAAAACCCTAAAACCCCAGAACCCTAAAACCCTAAAACCCTCAAACCCTAAACCCCTAAACCCCTAAACCCCTAAACCCCTAAACCCCTAAACCCTAAACCCTAAACCCTAAACCCTAAACCCTAAACCCAAACCCTAGCCCTAAACCCTAAACTTTCCCAAAAAAAACCACATCCCAGGTCCTGGACACCACTGCTGTCGGCCCCAGTGTCCGGGTTGCCCCAGGTGATCACACGCCCATCATCCCGAATAGCCGCGAAGGCGCCGTAGGAAGCCTCCGGGGAGCCCTAAACCCTAAACCCTAAACCCTAAACCCTAAACCCTAAACCCTAAACCCTAAACCCGAAACCCGAAACCCTAAACCCTAACCCTAAACCCTAAACCCTAAACCCTAAACCCTAAACTCCCCCCAAAAAAGTTGAGGGTTTCTTGCGGGAGAAGGAGCCTGAAATGTGCTTAGGGTTGAGGCTTTAGGGTTCAAGGCAAGGCCTTTATAGGGCTCAAAAGTGGCGAGTTTAGGTTAGGGGGGTGTAGGGCTTTGGTCTAGGGTTTGGGGTTTAGGGTTTAGAGCTAGGGTTGAGGGTTTAGGGTGTGTCACATGCTCCGCGCACACCACCACGCGGGACGTGTGTTGTGGTGTGCGCCAAGGTTCACGCCCTCTCCAACCAGCCCACCCAACCTATGACCTTGGTCGGGCTTAGGGTTTTTACATATTTGTTGTCGGCTCTCCTCTCAAATAATTGCTTGAATCCTATTCCACATTATTCCTTGGATCGAAATTTCTGCTTTGGGATTTGGGGGGGGACTTCATAGCCGAGAACTGGTCTGGGAAAGGCCCAACAAGGAGAAAAAGACCCGACAAAACTCGGAAATAGTCTGGGACAGGTTCAAAAAGCTCAGAAAAGCTCAGGGAAATCAAAGATGGTCAGAAATATTGCCTGGCAGAAGCCCAAAAGGCTGAGAAGCTCAGAAAGGCTCGGAAATGGTCTGGGCTCAGGCCGAAAAAGGCTCAGAGAGGCATTAAACGGCTCAGAAATTATCTGGGAGAGGCCCAAAAACGTGCAGGGGACCCTAAACCCGATGGTCCGAGCCCAAGGTTTGGGATCATATCTCTCTAGCAGATCCGGCACACCTGTCGCGTGCGCAGGCACCGAGCCAGTGCACGAAACGGAGCTCCTTCGCAGCGACTGTCGGACTGTCGCGCATGCTCCGGAGCTGGCAGGGGGTGTCGCCCCCTGCACGCTCGCTGCTGGCTATCGCAGCGCCCGCTCGCTTAAGTTTAGGGTCTAGGGTCTAGGGTCTAGGGTCTAGGGTCTAGGGTCTAGGGTCTAGAAAGTCTAGAGAATCTAGAGGGTCTAGAGGGTCTAGAGGGTCTAGGGGGTCTAGAGGGTCTAGAGGGTCTAGAGGGTTTAGGGTTTAAGGTTTAGGTTTAGCTTTTAGGGTTTAGGGTTTAGGGTTTACGTTTAGGGTTTACGGTTTAGGGTTGAGGGTTTAGGGTTTAGGGTTCAGGGTTTAGAGTCCCTTTAACTGTTGGCCTGGATCTGCTGGCAGCTATGAAGATGCTCTCGCACGGACCAAAAGTCCCCTCCTCCTGCCGAGCGCCAGAGGAACACAGGGCTTCACAAGGTTTAGGGGCTTCAGGGGTTTCAGGGGTTTCAGGGGTTTCAGGGGTTTCAGGGGTTTCAGAGGTTTCAGAGGTTTAGGGTTTAGGGTTTAGGGTTTAGGGTTTAGGGTTTAGGGTTTAGGGTTTAGGGTTTAGGGTTTAGGGTTTAGGGTTTAGGGTTTCGCGTTTAGGGTTTCGGGGTTGGGTTTTAAGTTTTGGGGCTTTCAGGCTTGGGAGTGTTTTGGAGTTTGGGAGGCTCGGGGTTCAGGGGTTTAGGGGCTGAGTGGTTCCGGGGGTGTAGATATTGAGGTCTTCCAGGAATCAGGGCTTTTTGAGTAGGAGTGGATCTAGGTTCAGGTTTACCTTCGCGCGGGCATCGGTGACCTGCCAATCGTATGATGCATACGCCTGCGCCTGAGCCTTAAAAGCTGCGAACCCTGAGCCCTGAAAGACCGAATGCCCTAAACAAGTTTGAATGAACGCCTGAAGGCCGCTAAACTTCTAGGTTCATGGGTAGTTGTAGCATGAGGGGGTATAAGTTTCGTTCAGGGTTCAAGGTTCATGGGTAGCTATAGCTGGGGTTGACAGTAGGGCAACTTTGGGTAGACTTGGTTCTAAGCCTATTCAACACGGGTACTTTTGACCCAATGTACCACGCATCCCTACCCATGAACTTTCACGTACATACCTTACTGAGTGCCCGACTCCCCAAAAACGATGAACGCTCAAAGCAAAAAGCTCTTGAGCGCTTGAGCCCATTGAAACACAACAACCCAAAAGTTCAGAAACCCTCCCAAAGGGTCCATGTACCTATATGGTAGATACTTGGGCCTTAAAGGGGCTCCTATATAGTAGCTTTAGGGCCCAAGTATATGCTATTTAGGTACATGGACCATTAGAGCCTCAGAACCCCCCTTAAACCGTGAACCGGAACCCCTATACTCCTCAAACCATGTAACACACCCAAGCTCCTAAAACTCGAAAGCCTTACACCCTCGGCCTTGGATCCTCAAGCGTGAAACCCTACAGGTCTGAACAACCAGTGGCTGGTAAGCCTCCGCAAGCCTTAGAAACGACCCCGAACCTACGGCACAAAATACCCAAAAACCTCAAGAGCCTCGCGCCCGGTAGCTCCCAGAAAACCGAAAACCCTTCCAAAGCCCTCTAGATGTCTTAGAGGGAGGGGGGGGGGGCCTTCATGGGTAGGTCCTAGGGAAACCCATAAGGAACCCTCTAAACGCCCTAGGGATATCTACCCTAAACCCTAAACCCAAAAATGCGGGGTCTCCTCGAGGATCGCCCCAGGCCACGACCCTGCCATCCTCCGCCAAGAACGCCAAAGCCTCGGCTCAAGGATCTTTAGTTCTGGGGCCCTTAAGGGAGGTTTAGGGTTTAGGGTTTAGGGTTTCGGGTTTAGGGTTTCTTGGGGGGGCAGGTACCTGGGAACCCTAGAAACTTAGGGAGCCTTCGGGAAGCTTGGGGAGCCTTAGGGAGTAGTGAACCACTAAACCCTAAACCCTAAACCCTGACCCTAAATCCTAAACCCTAAACCCACGCAACGCAGGTGCGGGTGTGGGGTCCGTAGCTGTGGATGGCTTCACGCAACGCAGGTGATCGGGGTTGTAGGGGCGTAGCTGAGGAACATCTGAAACCCTCAAAGCCACAGGCAAGAGCGGCGCTGACACGCATGGGCCCGCTTGGGATAGTGGCCCCAACCCGAAACCCTAAACCCTAAACCCTACACCCTAAACCCTAAACCCTACACCCTAAACCCGATCTAGGGCTTAAGCTCTCGGGATTCGGAAGTCCGCAAAAACTGGGGCATCCTAGAGGATCCCGGCAGCCGTATCGCCATTCGCGAGGGCCGCTGGCCGCACGATGCCAACCAGCTCAGCCTCAGCCCGCCAGGGTTTAGGGTTGAGGGTTGAGGGTTGAGGGTTGAGGGTTGAGGGTTGAGGGTTGCGGGTTGAGGGTTGAGGGTTGAGGGTTGAGGGTTGAGGGTTGAGGGTTGAGGGTTGAGGGTTGAGGGTTGAGGGTTGAGGGTTGAGGGTTGAGGGTTGAGGGTTGAGGGTTGGGGCCAAGGCGAAGGGCCACCCCCGAGCTCGCGAAGTCAGGTATCGAGGGACGGGGGGAGGGGGGCGCAGCCCCATCACTCTGCTGAGTGTTCTTTGTGGCCTAAAATGCTTCTTCCTACAGCGACAAGGCCTCGGTTAAGGGTCGAAAAACCACCATGGCTTGGTTGGTTTAGGACGATGCAAACGTTCTAAGAAACACGCACGGCCTTTAAATGGAAATCGGCTGGGCTTTGTTGTTGGCGTTACCATAGTTCTTGCGAAACGGCCAGCCAGAGCTCCTCTCACTGGACAAGGCCGCCTTGAAGAGCTCGGGTTCAAGGTTTACCCTGAACCCCTAAACCCTAAACCCTATAAACCCTAAACCCTATACCCTATAAACCCTAAACCCCTGAACCCTTCACCCTAAACCCCAAATCGCGTCCAGCGTCTCCATCTGTGACGCCGGCGTTTTCCAGCGTAGAGCTCGGCCACAGCACCTGTTGCGGTGGCGAGGCTTCTGGCTTGGCGCAAATCGGGTTTCGGGATCGGCAAGGACCTGCTTAAAGTGACAGGCCAAAGGAGCGCTCATGCTAGGAAGGACAACATCGTGCGAGCCCGTAAACCACATGCCCTTATCTGGGGCCCGGATCGACTACCCATATACCCATATCTAGGTCCGAATCCTGCCAAGGGCCTAGAACCCTTCACGAAAGTTTTATGTTTCGGATGAGGGTTAAGGGATCAGGGCTCAAGTTTGGTGATGACGGTTGAGAGTTCTTGGGTTCTTGGACCGTTCGTCTGCCAGCATCCGGGGCTGCTGCAGTGGGCTTCTTGCCCAAAGGTATTTGGATACTCGGCCTTCCTGAACGGCTACCGGGGGGGGGGGGGGGGGGGGGGGGGGGGGGTAGAGGGGGGTAATAGGGAAACCGTTTAGGGTTTAGGGTTAGGGTTTAGGGTTTAGGGTTTAGGGTTTAGGGTTTAGGGTTTAGGGTTTAGGGTTTAGGGTTTAGGGTTTAGGGTTTAGGGTTTAGGGTTTAGGGTTTAGGGTTTAGGGTAGGCCCGAAGTGAAAGACTCTACACCGTAAACCCCGAAGCCTTGGAACCTGCAGCATCATGCACTCGCATAGTGCAAGGGTGTAGGGTTTAGGGTTTAGGGTTTAGGGCTTAGGGTTTAGGGTTTAGGGTTTAGGGCTTAGGTTTGATTAGGGATTGGGCTATGGTGTCCAGGGTTTCGGGCCGCCTAAATCCCAAAACCCTGAACCCCAAACCCAGCCCATGGGCCGCCTCACCACCAGAAAGAACCAAATGGCTAAGGTGCGTTTCCAGCTCTGCTTGCGCCTGCCCTTGGAGGGTCTCAGAACTGCTGGGTTTCAGCGGTTCAAGGGTTTAGGGTTTAGGGTTTAGGGTTTAGGGTTTAGGGTTTAGGGTTTAGGGTTTAGGGTTTAGGGTTTAGGGTTTAGGGTTTAGGGTTTAGGGTTTAGGGGTCGTTAGGACTGGGGCGCCAAGCAGGGTAACTTGAGATGCAGCTGGTTGTAACCCTGTTGCGGGTACCATCCCCTAAACCCTAAACCCTAAATCATAGATCTACACGCAATGATCAGCCTACCTTGGCGGCGTGTTGGAAGGCTTGGCTGAACCAAAGATGTTGTGGAACATATGAGATATCTGGTGTTGCTTGTTGGGGGAGAAAATAAGCCTGAAAGTGGTGCGTTAGACACCGCAATGTTTACATGCATTGCGAGGTATGTCAATTCAGCATATACGAACGACTGAATGGGAAACCGAGGTCCGGCTTTAGAGAAACAATTGCTCAGATTACGTCTTTATGCAAGTCTTTTTTCAAGATATATTTCGAAAAGCTCGTAGTTACAGGTGTCTTCGTACGCCGGGGAACCAGAACAGAAGACGGCAGGGGGTGGACAATGGGGGGGGGGACCGGAAGAAAGCTGCAATGTTCAGGAACTCCCATATTGGAGGCCCTTTGCGTCAAGTAGGTTATATTCCCTAGGGTGTGTTTCCTCGTTGACCCTGGCAAGACATTGCAGCTTTAGTTCTGCGGACTATACCATAACACGCAAGCTCTGATGGAGAAAGGAAGAAGGTCAACAGCCCCTTGGTAAGTCGGCTGCTTAGTTTATCGAAGCCCCTAGCTTGCAAGGGCTTAGGGCTTAGGGCTTAGGTACACCTAAGCATTTGCACACTCGGAACATCGAAATGACATTAGAAAGCAAGGAGGACCATGAAGGCAAAAAGCAGGCGTCTGAAAGGACGACAAGCAAGCCGGCAAACAGAAGCAAACCGTCAGACATCGGACCATCAAACCTCAACAACCCACAGCCAAAAACACGGGACTGAAGCAAAGCAACCGCTGCTGCCCTAAAACTGAAACCCTCAATAGCCATACGCCCTGGCTCAACCCCGAAACGCCAGAGGTGCATTTCCTAGCGTAGGTCTCTCCCACCTTTGCCCTCAAGATGCTTTCAACACCAAACCGGGACCCCCAGTTTCGGAAATCCTCCTCCCCAGAAGCATGGTTTAGGGTTTAGTTTGGGGTTTAGGGTTTAGGGTTTAGGGTTTAGGGTTTAGGGTTTAGGGTTTAGGGTTTAGGGTTTAGGGTTTAGGGTTTAGGGTTTAGGGTTTAGTGTTTAGTTTGGGGTTTAGGGTTTAGGCTTGAGGGGTACTTGAAGGTGCATGGGCAGTTCTAAGTAGGTTTAGAAGTAACGGTCACCTTTGTTATAACCTCAATTGGGGTACATATCTTGGCTGCACTCAGGAGGGTAGCTATAAATTAAACTTTTAGCTGCCTTACTAAGAAACCCAATAAACCCAAAAAGGTAAGGATCTAAAGTTTCGGTAAAGTACCACAAAGAATTAGATCTGTACCTAGAACTGTACTTATAACCATGTTAGGGCACTTAAGGGGCTTACGAGTGGGTTATAAGTACAACCCCTAAACCCTAAACCCTAAACCCTAAACCCTAAACCCTAAACCCTAAACCCTAAATCCAAAAAATAAAAGCCGGGTGGCGGCGCAAGAGTTCAACCTGCGATTCCGGATCGGTCAGCAGGCTGGCAGACTTTCCGCTCAGCAAACCTACCTTAGGCGGTTTAGGGCTTAGGGCTCTTAGGGTCTTAGGGTTTAGGGTTTAGGGTTTAAGGTTTAGGGTTTAGGGTTTAGGGTTTAGGGTTTAGGGTTTAGGGTTTAGGGTTTAAGAACTACCCCTCACCCGAAAAACTGTCGGGGGTGGAACCTATAGCCCCCGGTAGCCACCCTTCACCCTCAACTCCCATATCTCATATGAGGCTACCTGGAAAGCCCTTATGAGACCCTAAACCCCCGTGAAGAGGCAACTCTCTAACTATACTAACACAGGGGGATGTTTAGGGTTTAGGGTTTAGGGGTTTAGGGTTTAGGGTCTAGGGTTTTGGGTCTAGGGTGTTTAGGGTTTGGGGTTTGGGGTTTGGGGTTTGGGGTTTGGGGTTTGGGGTTTGGGTATTGTCGATCCTGGGGCTACACCCTCACGGCGTCACCGGCTTGGGTTGCCAGGGAGGGCTGGAATGGTTTAGGGTTTAGGGTTTAGGGTTTAGGGTTTAGGGTTTGGGGTTTAGGGTTTAGGGTTTAGGGTTTAGGGTTTAGGGTTTAGGGTTTAGGGTTTAGGGTTTAGGGTTTAGGGTTTAGGGGTTCGGGGTTAGGGTTTAGGGTTAACGAGAGGGTTTGCGGTTTGGAGTTTAGGGCGCAGGCCTCCCCACAGTCCCTGGTACAGCTTGGGCCTTGCTTCCTGAAACAGTTTCCAGCCGGTTCCTGAAACAAAGTTGCTGTAACAACCCCTGGTTCCGGTTACAGCCCTAAACCCTAAGCCCTAAACCCTAGATCCTAAAACCTAAACCCTGACCAGGGCCCCCCATAGTAACGGCCCCGAATTAAGGTTGTCTCGGGGGGGAATCTAGGGGGGGTAGTATACTAGACTCGTGAGTAACCTAGGAATAATAAGGTACTCCTTTTGGTTTTAAGGGGATTATAAGGGAACCCCAACCCTAAACAAAGGAAAAAAGGGCCTACTCCCGGTCCTAGGAATATGGGGGGGGGAAGGGGTAGTATAGAGGGGGGAGGTAGGGGAACCCATGATCAATGCAGGAGCCAAGCCACATAGACACGAATTGGCATGCCGCAAACAGTGGAACGTTCCGGCCGTGAGTCCTTGGCTGACTTCTGCACCTCTTAAACCCTAGACCCTAAACCCTAAACCCTAAACCTAAACCCTAAACCCTAAACCCTAAACCCTAAACTGCCCTAAACCCTAAACCACTAAGAGCCAGCCAGAAGAAAGCCAAGAGTCTGTCTCCACAGCCAGGTCCGGACACGCCGCTGCTGAACATCAGCACGCCGGAGGCTTAAACAATTGGGGGTTTAGGGTTTAAGGCTTAGGGTTTAGGTTTTAGGGTTTAGGGTTTAGGGTTTAGGGTTTAGGGTTTAGGGTTTAGGGTTTAGGGTTTAGGGTTTAGGGTTTAGGGTTTAGGGTTTAGGGTTTAAGTCACACAACTTGGGCTGTAGGGCTAGGAAGCCACTTCCTGGATGTTTATAGGATAGATCCCAAGGGTTTAGGGTTTAGAGGCACCAGGGTTTAGGGTTTAGGGTTTTGGGTTTAGGGTTTTGGGTTGCAAGTCCGGGGAGTGGGTGTGGGGAGGGGGCATTCATTCATTAAAGGGCTGCGGGCGTGGCAAGCATGCGGATGTCGAGCAAAGCATGGAGAGCCGCAAGGAGGGAATGGGGATTAGGGTCTACCTGAAAAACCCCAAACCTACCTTTTTTTGTAGGGCGAATTCAGGTTTAGGGCTTAGGGTTTAGGATTTCGGGTTTCGGGTTTAGGTTGAACAAAGAATCCAGAAACGCAGGCCTTAGGTTCTCAGGGTAGGCTAAGCGCTTCAGGCTACGGGCTTATGAACCTTCACTCTTCATCCCAGCACTCAGAGCCCCCCCCCCCCCCCCCAAAAAACCCCGCAATCTTCCCAAAGCCGAAATTAAGCCAAGGAGTAGCCTAGGAATACAAAAGCGGTGCCCCTTTCCTAAGAAGAGACGGAGAATAAGGGCCTGCTCTGGGTCCCAACCCTAAACCCTAAACCCTAAACCCTAAGCCCTAAGCCCTAAACCCTAAACCCTAAACCCTAAACCCTAAACCTTCCTAAGTCCACCAGGGCTTCTTGCTTCGGGGCTTCGGGGGAGGCCCACCATACCCGAAGGCTCCCACAGAGGGACTGGTACCTCCTGCTTGGAGCTTCATGGTACTTATGAACCACGTAAAACTGTACTTATAACCCACCTATAAGCCCCCTAAGTGCCTTAAGTACAGTTATAAGTGCAGTTCTAATTGGTTCACAAGTACCATGAACCTCCAAGTAGCCTTAGGGTAATTCCAAAGAGCAATGCTTAAAGTATGCCAAACAGTTTTTCCTAGACCCTGCACTACGAAGCTCAAAGCCCTAACAAACAAACCCATACGATCCCAAAACCCCTAAACCACTACAGCCAAAATCGCGAAACATCAAAAATCAAAAACACCCTCAAGCGCCTAAAGCAAATAGGACCCCGCCCCCGACCCCCTAGACCCTAATGCCGCTAAACACCCTCAGGCCCCGAAAGCCAAGAACAAAAACTCTGAAAGGCCTTTCAAGCCAAGTTCACCCCCCTGGGCTAACACAATCAAGACCCTAACCCTAAACCCTGAACCCGAAACCCTGAACCCTAAACCCTAAACCCTAAACCCAAAACCCTAAACCAAAGCGAGGCCCTAAACCGGCCTCGCGTGGGCGTTGGGCCGGGACCCCTGTGCTCGCCAGGGTTTCGGGTTGAAGGTTCAAGGCTGAAAGCTTTTGAAGGTTTAAGGTTCAGGGTTCGGTGAAATTGACTGCCTTTACGACCAGCTTGTCAAAGTCACTTCCAACTTTCGCGCTATAAAGTTTATAGGGTTGACGGTTTTTAAGGTTTAAGGTTGTCGAGTGTGCAAAAACGCAGGCGCGCTGTGAGTACGCGCCACTGCACACCGCCCACCTCGCCCAGGGCTTGGACTCGCAAATATTGTCATTCGTGGGGTAGCTTGGGATGTTCCCCCCTTACACGAACAGTCCCTAATCGGATTATACTAGGGGGTACTATAATCCAGACTAAGGGCTGTTAGTATAAGGGGGAACATCCCAAGGGGCACGTATGAGTTTGCCAAGCAGTTCGCAAGTTGCAACGATTGGTGACTGGGCCTCCCGAATCTGCGGGGACTTCCGGCGGCCTCCAGGCACCCCAAAAAGGACACTGGCTGAACCAGCAAAGAGGCCCTCTGGCCTCAAGACACCTCGCAGGGTGGCTATGACCAAAGGGCCAGACAGCCTAGCGGACCAAGAAAAAGGAACGCGGCCGCGTTTGGGTCATGTGGGGATTGGAAGATGTGCACACACACATGTATATTACACACATATAAATACATATGTATACGTCTGAATTTTTATACAATGACAATTGGGTCTCGTAGAGTGCTGAATCAGCGCCCGCCTAGATAAAAAGGACAAGTGGGCAGGTGGCTTGCTGGCTTCCTAAATCCTAAACCCTATTTCTTAACTAGGGTGTAGGGCTTTGGGAAACCAACGAAGCGAGCCCACGGAAGCAACGACCCTTTGGGGTCTAGGGGTGTAGTGGTTTTGGCTTAACCTGTTTTGGCAGGGCAGCTCTCTGAATCAAGTATGGTCTTGTTGTTGATTGCCCGAAATAGGGAACCGGTCGAGAAGGCTAGGAACCGGCGGGTTCGACAGGGGTTGGCTTGGGTTTAGCGTTTAGGGTTTAGGGTTTAGGGCTTAAAGGCTTACCCTTTACTCTTTATTTACTCTAGACCCTAGACCCTAAAGCCCTAAAGCCCTAAAGCCCTAAACCCTAAACCCTAAACCCTAAACCCTAAACCCTAAACCCTAAAAAACCCTGAACCAACAGTTCTCCTTCGAAAGCCCCCAGGTCGGCAGTTCCTGCGTCCGCGGTGTTCGCCTTGGCAGCGTGGCGGCGAAGGCCTGCCATTCGGAGGTATCTTCGGGGTTAGGGTTTAGGGTTTAGGGTTTAGGGTAAGTTTAGGGTTTAGGGTTTAGGGTTTAGGGTTTAGGGTTTGGGGTGTAGGGTTCAGGGTTCAGGGTTCAGGGTTCAGGTTCAGGGTTTAGGGTTTAGGGTTTAGGGTTTAGGGTTTAGGGTTTAGGGTTTAGGGCTCAGGGACCCCAATTTTAGGGTTGGTTTGGGTCCTCCAGGTATACATCCTGAAAACCTAATCCGAAATCTGAGGCCCGCGCCGGGCGTCGCAGGAGCCTCGGCCATTCGGGCTTCGGAGCGCTTTCTGGCGCTTCGGGGGCGTCTTAGTTGTCCAGTACCTAGGGGATGTAAAGGTTAACCTTTTGGATTTTAAGGGTATTAACCCGAAACCCTAAACCCTAAACCCTAAACCCTAAACCCTAAACCCTAAACCCTAAAAAGGTTAAACGTTACATACTCTACTACTAAGGCGTAGGGGCTGGGGTGCGGGTGTTTAGGGGCTTCCGGGGCTTCCAGGTTTAAGGGGCTGAGGGGTCCCTAAACCCGAAACCCGAAACCCGAAACCCTAAACCCGAAACCCGAAACCCTAAACCCTAAACCCTAAACCCTAAACCCTAAACCCTAAACCACTCTTTCATATATAATATAAATGTTAATGACTTTGCGGGCAAGGTCATATATTTAGCGGGCAAGGTCATATATTTAGCGGGCAAGGTCATATATTTAGCGGGCAAGGTCATATATTTAGCGGGCAAGGTCCATTGGCTAAAAATTGACCTTGCCCACTAAATATATGACCTTGCCCGCTAAAGGGCGACCTTGCCCACTAAATATATGACCTTGCCCGCTAAATATATGACCTTGCCCGCTAAATATATGACCTTGCCCGCTAAATATATGGCCCGGGCCAGGTAATATATTTAGCGGGCAAGGTCATATATTTAGCGGGCAAGGTCATATATTTAGCGGGCAAGGTCATATTTAGCGGGCAAGGTTTAGCGGGCAAGGTCATATATCCTATATTTAGCGGGCAAGGTCATATATTTAGCGGGCAAGGTCATATATTTAGCGGGCAAGGTCCCCCCCCCCCCCCCCACCCCCCCCACCCCCTGAAAAGAGATGGCTTCCAAAGAATAAGTTTCCGAATGACCGCGCCTGTTTTTGAGGCCCCTGGAGCCCCTCAAACGACTCAAGAACTCAAGATGGCTTCCAAAGAATAAGTTCCCGAATGGAAACATGTGGTTAACAAATCCATTCTGTTGACCACGTTGGTTTTCTTGTCCGCTTGAAACAGAAACATGTGGTTGACAAATCCATTCTGTTGACCACGTTTGGTTTTCTTGTCCGCTTGAAACAGAAACATGTGGTTAACAAATCCATTCTGTTGACCACGTGCCTAGAGAAGAAGGAGGTTGGATATTTTTCCTAATGGTGTGGGACCCAATGGGCGGGTGGGTATTCCCCTGTGGCCTTGAAAGCTGCTCAACTAGTGAATGCTTGGACCAGAGATGCTGAACCCTAAACCCTAAACCCTAAACCCAAACCCTGTAGGGAGAAGGGCGACAAAAATGCCGATGTAGCCGGTGCAACCGGTGCCATCCTTGAAAAAGCTGAAGAACTCGTCGCTGATGATGCGGGGGCTTTCCATATTCGCTACCGTATTGGGGCTGCTCTAGGGGATCCTACTATATCACGGGGCCCCCTGTTATCGTAAACCCCCGTGCTGATGGATAATTACAAAGAGGCACCATAAGGGAATACAATAGCAATTATTCCGCACCCAAGCCCTAAACCCTAAACCCTAAACTCTAAACTTTCAACCCTAGACCCTCAACCCTCAACCCTAAACCCTAAACCCTAAACCCTAACCCGTAAACCCTAAACCCTAAACCCTAAACCCTAAACCCTAAACCCTAAACCCTAACCCTAAAACCTAAACCCTCAACCCTACATTACGCCAAGGCAGGCGTTGACGCGCAGGCCGTAGAAGCAGGTGATGAAGTTTCAGAGTGCAGCGCGTCACGTATGGATTGGCAGGTTTTGCCCTTAAACCCGCACACACATGGGGGTTTGCGAACATAAGGGAACCCTAATGTAGGCCCCCAACAAGT